CGCTGGGGAAGAGGGTTTGTTTCCGCGGGGCAGATGGCGCGCGGGGGGGGGTTCGGCTGCGCTGGGGGGGTTGTTTCCGTGGGCGGGCGGTGCTGGGGGTTGGCGGCGCTTGGGGGGTTTCGGCCCTCAGTTGTTTTCTTTGGAGTAATATGGCCCTTGCCGCTTTACGAGTTGTGCAGGCCTGCTCTATGACATTGTCAAAAACCCCATACACAATCATATTGACGCTGACCGTTAAAGCCTTCCCAAAATGTATTTCTGCTCTCAGGTTCCCGGTTTTAATCAGTGAATAGTGATTGGCGCATTCCTGGTTGGGAGACAGGAAAAGGTAAACAAGGTGCAAACTCCTCATGGTCAATTAACAGAGAATAATCTTTCATGTGTTTATCAGCCGTCTGTACCAGAGTCATGTGTTCTCTCACGCAGCGTCCTGCCTCGAAGTCCGGTTGCAGAGGCTTGGTCAGTATCTGTTCACCATCCACATACAAGGCCACAAAATTAATATCGTAATGTTTAAAATGAAAGGGATTTTTGGCATAACTTCCGCTAAAGGCATCATTATCCACAAACCCTAGGACAAGCATTTTGGGTAACTGTCCCAAGAACAACAGAGTCCTGTGGCACCTTTAAGACTAACAGATGAACTTTTTACAGACCCAGACTAACACGGCTACCCCTCTGATACTTGTCCCAAGAACAGGTTCTCCTGGTTACTGACCCTGCTGCCCGCGAGGATGCTAAACACTTTCATTCCCACACGGTCCATGGGGTATTTAGCATTAGCGGTAAGCAGGGCCTCCGCGTGCCCCAGACATACAGTTGGGGCCACCTGTACTTTCTTCACAAAAAGGAACGCTGATACAATGCGCAGTTTAAAGCCTTCAGCCGCACTGCCCATTACACAGAAAGCGTCTTTACTGCGCGTCAGTTTAATTTTCACATCCTCTCTGTTCAACAGAAGTTTTTCTTGAAAAAACAGGTCACTGTGTAGATGGCCCAGCAGCTCTACCGTTCTGCTCTCGGCCGTCAGCTTTGCACGCCTCACAAACCCTAGATTCCCTCCATCCAACTCTGTTTCTTCATGTTGTCCAGCAGTGTCTTTGTAAAACAGGCCGGCAGAAAATTGCGTGGCGAGGGTGTTGTCGCTGTAATTGAGCACCGATTCTGTAAAGGCCCTGTAAGGGTAACAGTTGTTGCTTTGGCTTATGAAGCGGTCTCCCAGTGTACCATCCAACTGACTGAAAATAGAGGCCACGGGGTAATTCACCAGACCCACCTCGGCGTCCTTGGAGAGTTCAGTTCAGTCTCCTTTTACAATCTTGCAACACAGGTACAGCAGCGTGTTGTTTAAATCCATATAATGCCATTCCCTACTATAAAAAAGTCAATGGGGGCAGACTCCGTAATGGCCGATAGAGGCGGCACCTTGATGTAGATGCTTTTCTCGATGCTGGTCTGCGTAGGGGCTATTTGGAACAAGTCTAGTTCGGATTTGGTGCACTCTTCAGACCCGCAGTGAACAAAAGCCATGTTGATTAAAATATATCTCTTTTACCAGGCAGAGAGTGTCTCCTCTTTTTCCCAGGCTTCCTCTTGGACTTTCGCTTATGGCCAGCCCTGCGTGTCAAAGCCCTTCTTTTAAAAGGTTTCGGGGGACCTGTGCATTGCGGGTATGACAAGCTCTGAAACCCCACAAGAGGGGTGGCTCTCAGAACCCAAACTCCAGCTCCCAAAGATCTACCCTGCTATTTTTAGACTCACTGCCTGAGCCCAACAGTTGACCCAGGCTCTGAGACTTGGTGTAGACGTACCCTAACAGAACACACCTGGGCTGTCTGTGCAGGTTGGAGAGTGGGCAATGAGTGGGGCAGGTGCCCAATCGTTAAAGGATAAAAATAAGCATGGCTGCCCCATTCACTCTGCGCTGGTCCAATCTAGTCACTAAGTGTGCTGTCTTTCAAGATGCTGAGTGCCTCAGCTCCCCATTGAAGTCAGTGGGAGCTGAGGGTGATCAGCACCTTGTAGGAATAAGCCCTGAATGTGCCGGGGTCCTGCAGAAATAGCTGTCTGTGGTCACGGAATGACAGGCCGTGTTGTGATGCACACACACACAAGGGGGCAGAGTTAAGGTTGCACATGCACCCTGGGCTTTGGCACTTCCTGGCTTTTGAACGTTTTGCTTTACAGCCCTGGTTGTCCTAGTGGAGTTTTCTTGTGTGGGGAATTCTTAAACGGGGTTTCAAGTGGAGTTAGGGTAGGGTACATACTTGAGCAGTTATTAGGGTGACCAAATGTCCCAATTTTATAGGGACAGTCCCAATTTTGGGGTCTTTTTCTTATATAGGCTTCTATTACCCCCCACCCCCTGTCCCGATTTTTCACATTTGCAGTCTGGTCACCCTAGCAGTTATGGCCCTACTGACTCTGAATTTCGGGTCTGATCTGATGGGGAAGAGTTATTTCTTTTAAATTCTAGGTGAAGTTCTAAATGATCTGGGAACAGACTTAATCTAAACCCAGGACTAGAACTCAGGCTATTTTGAATCTTTTTCCTTTGATTTTATTAATAATCAAACCCAATGCGTTGACCCATTCGGGGCTTTGATTAGGTCCTTGCCCCCAGTTTTCCATTCCAGAACTCCTGTTGCCCTGAGCTGTATTCGCTCTGTGCTTCCCGAAGCAAATACAGCAAACAGCTGACTTCAGCAGCTGAACTAGCGGAGGAGAGGTCACATGACCACAACCGAAAAACAAGAGTGAGAAACAATGCCTTGGCCAGCCTTTGTTCTGCCTCCGGGATCTCTCTGTGCTGCAGCCAGTCAACAGAGCAAGTAACCAGGGTAAGGACGCCAGCCAGCCTCCTTTTATAACTGCTAGTTTCGGGACCCCCCTGTCCAAAATCCTAAGATTGAAGCATTCAGGGGCAGAAAGACCCCCAAACACAATGGGAACTGCTGTATTATTGCAACTAGTTTTAGAGCCGCTCAGGCTAGCAGACTAGCTCCGGGCTTTAGTCTGAGCTCCAGGCAGCCCAGGATTTTCAGGGGAGATCCGATTATCGGGTGTAACTTTTGCCCCCTGCTCGTTTTGTTTACGAGCAAGACAGGCAGATTTCCGTCCCTCTCTGGGTCCTAAAGACCACCTGTCTGCTCAGGGCTGGTGTTTGCAGTGCACATGATTTGTTACACATTTAGCATGTCTTCTGGTTACTCCTCACTTGCTGAATACTGGCCTGGCCTGACTGTTCTGAGCGTTTGCAGTTCCATAGCTCTGGTGCTCTGGAACATGCCGGTCACAAGCTGTGTCTGCACAATCTGTGCTGCTGCTTTATTTAGGGGTCTAGATGTGAGGACAGCAAAAGGAGCCTTCTGTGTCCATCACGCCTGCCGGAGCTGCCAGCAGCTGATGAGCTCTGAGGCCAGTGAGAGGAATGGCGACTGTTCAGAAGGGCCAGAGAGGGTGTGCATCTGGGTAGAGATTGGGTTTAACGCTACAGATCCACAGTCAGTGGGGCTGAACTTCAGGTTTATTGGGTGTCACGGACTCACAGATCGTGCCCACTCTTGGCCCCGTGCGGTCCATGGGGGGGTGCCCCTATCCGTGTGACAGCCCTTCTCGGGGGTCGACTCTCTCTCAGGGTTAAGCCCCACCACCTCCTGGAGCCTTAGCACACCTTTTTCTCACCGTGGGCCCCCTCAGGGAGTCCCCTCGTTCTGGACCCCTGGGGCCTCCACCCCCCAAAGGGGTTGATGCAACCCTGTTCTCTAGACCAGAGTGACTCCCAGCCAGAGTAAAACAGGAGGGTTTATTGAGAGTTGAACACAGCACGAAACTCTCAGGGCTTCAGGCCTGGCCTCCCTCAGCCCAGCACATCCCAGTCTCCCTGCATCCAGGTGGGCTCTGCCTGCTCCCCCTCTCCAGGCCAGAGACCCCCCTGCTTCCCAGCTGCTCCCCCTCTCCAGCCCCAAGCCCCACCTCTGTCCATTGTCTTCTCTCCAGGTAAACAGGGTCGTAAACTGGGGCCTCCTCTCCTCGCTTCTGTCCTCTGGCTGGAACAAGCTGGTTAGGTCACTGGGTCCTCACTCTGCAGCCCATTGTTCTCCCACTGGCCAGAACCGGCTGCAACTCCTGAGCTGGGTCTCCAGGTTGGGGTCTCAGGTCACCAGTCGCTGGGGTATCCATCCTCCAGGCCATTGGCTGGGGTCCCACATTCCCTCTCCGGTCCTCTATAACAACAAACTCCCTCTCCCCTCAACTCGTTAAACCAATAACACCCAGGGAAACTGAGTCCTACCCCCTCTGCATGCAAACCATTGAAACCTCACCGAAAACAAGAGAAAAACAAGAAGATCCCCCACTTCGTCACATCTCTCCCCCCTTCGAGGCTGAATGGAGCAGGGTCACTTAGCCAGTGACCTGGGGAAGTTCAGGCCCCCACCCCGTGGTATAGCATCGGCTATAGCATTGGCACTCCCCTTCCCCCTGGCACAGCCCTCTCCCCCCACTGCACCCCCCTAGACCAGTGGTGCCCTCTCTCAGGGGCTTCCACCCAGTTGACACCCCGCAGGTTCTGCTTGGCCGCCATTTCCTTCATCTTGAGGCACTGTGCCACCTTGTGTCCCTTTTGGCCACAGTAATTACATTTCAGGTCCCTCAAGTCCCACTTTGGAGAGGTCTCGGGGTGACTCCCCTTCTGAGTCCCCGATGTGGGTCTCCCTCCTGCCCCCAATTTGGTGTCCGCAAACTCATCTGCCAGTGCCCCTGCATTGCGCAGATCCTTGGGCTTCCGGTCCACTAGCCACATCTTAAGGTCCGGAGGGCAGATGTCATACAGCTGCTACAACCCCACCAGGTGATTCATGTCCTCTGCGGTAGTGGCCCCTGCGCCCTTCCCCCAGTTGCAGAGATATTCCCCCAGCAAGTTGGTGACTTCCTTGTAAGTGACACCTGAGGCCTTGCGAACACCCCGGAATTGTTTCCTGTACGCCTCGGGGGTCAGTTCAAACTTCCACAGCAAAGCCTGTTTGAACAGGTCGTAGTCCCCCATCTCAACACCATCCATTTGGCTGAACGCCTGTATGGCTTTGGGACCCAGCAGGGGGATCAGACAGCGAAACCTGTCTGCAGGGTCAATCTGGTTCAGTTCACAAGCCTTCTCAAAGGCTGTGAGGTAGGCATCGATATCCCCCCCCATCCTCGAACTGGGGCAGCAGTTTGGTGTCCAGATTCCCCCCAACACTGGCGTCTCGGGGCCCTTCCCCACTTAGCCCCCCGGCAGGCCCTCTTGGCCCACTGCTCGTCCAACTCCAACTCATGCTTCCGCTGTTCTACACAGTCCACCAGCCTCTGCTCCTCCAGCTCCAGCTCCTTTGCTTCCAGCTGCAGCTCTAATCTCCGCAGCTCCTCTAGGGAGGAACCTGACTGGGGTCTCCCTGTACTGACTGGGGAGTCAGGTCTGACCCACTCCCGGTCGCTACACAGACTGCCCCCCCGGCTACTCCCCGGCTCTCCGGGCACCCCGGGAGCCCCCGTGGGGCCTGGAGCCTGTGCCTCAGACGGGTCATTCTCTACAAGCTGAGCAATCAGCCGCTCCTTAGTGAGCCTCCCCACGCTCAGAGTAGCAGCCGTGTTAGTCTGTATCCGCAAAAAGAAGAACAGGAGGACTTGTGGCACCTTAGAGACTAATAAATTTGTTAGTCTCTAAGGTGCCACAAGTCCTCCTGTTCTTCTTTTTCCCCACGCTCAGCCCTCTTTCCCTGCACAGGCATGCCAGGTCGCTCTTACGGAACTGGTTGTAGGCCATTTCCAGGCTGGTTCCCTTCAATACCCTCGTTCTATCACTGGCAGCCACTCACTGCAAAGCGCCGGTGCTCGCAGCCAAACATCTACAGGGTGCACCCACGAATCATCCTCTGCTACCACGTTGTCACGGACTCACAGATCGTGCCCACTCTTGGCCCCGTGCGGGGGTGCCCCTTTCAGTGCGACAGCCCTTCTTGGGGGTCCACTCTCTCTCGGGGTTAAGCCCCACCACCTCCTGGAGCTGCACCTCTCTGAGCCTTAGCACACCTGTTTCTCGCCGTGGGCCCCCCCAGGGAGTCTATTCGCTCTGGACCTCCCGGGCCTCCACCCCCGAAGGGGTTGATGCAACCCAGTTCTCTAGACCAGAGTGACTCCCAGCCAGCATAAAACAGGAGGGTTTATTGAGAGTTGAACACAGCACAGGAAACTCTCAGGGCCTCAGGCCTGGCCTCCCTCAGCCCAGCACATCCCAGTCTCCCCCTCTCCAGCCCAGAGCCCCCCTGCTTCCCAGCTGGGCATCTGAGATCCCCGGCCCCAAGCCCCGCCTCTGTCCATTGTCTTCTCTCCAGGTAAACAGGGTCGTAAACTGGGGCTTCCTCTCCTCGCTTCTGTCCTCTGGCTGGAACCGGCTGGTTAGGTCACTGGGTCCTCACTCTGCAGCCCATTGTTCTCCCACTGGCCAGAACTGGCTGCAACTCCTGCGCTGGGTCTCCGGGTCGGGGTCTCAGGTCACCAGTCGCTGGGGTATCCATCCTCCAGGCCATTGGCTGGGGTCCCAAGTTCCCTCTCCGGTCCTCTGTAACAACAAACTCCCTCTCCCCTCACCTTGTTAAACCAGTAACACCCAGGGAAACTGAGTCCCACCCCCTCTGCATGCAAACCATTGAAACCCCACCGAAAACAAGAAAAAAACAAGAAAATCCCCCACTTCATCACATTGGGTTAATAACTAAATAGTGAGCCAAAGGCTGCAGTCAGTTACACCTGACCCGGAGATGCTCCCTGGACTTCTATCCCATAACTGAGGCCAGGATTCAGCCCACTGTCTCTACATATTCCCTTAGCATGTGCATAACCCCAGTGCTATTGGTGGCCATGAATGATCCAGCCATTTTTGCTAGTTCCTGATGCTACTTCCAGGTGTCTGTCCTAGCCCATTCAGAGCTGGGGGAGGGCATCCTCGGGATGCAGTAGTTTCCTAGCTCTGGGACATGGAAATGGTTTAAGTAGCTCTTTCCCTCTCCCCAGCTCCACGTCCCTCATACCCAGCACCAAGAGCTTCTCTAGCAGTTCACAGGCATTCAGTAGGCCGGACTCTCCCCTCACACTTGTGTAAATCAGGCGTAGCTCCCGTGAAGTTAGTGAAGTTACACCAGTGTGAAACTGACTTGCTTGTCAGGGCTGTCCGACCCTGCGTTGTTCTGCTGTTGTTTGCCCAGGAGAAGGGGCTGAAAGCCCCAGCCCGCCTGGTTAAGATGTCCAACATACTATCTGTATGAGGACAGGAGACTGCCCCTTAGGGCGGATGACCAGGAGAGCGCAAAAAGAAGCAGGAAAGAAAAGCAGTTGCGCCGCCTTATCTCTGCTCCTAGCTCCTTGCAGCTTTGGCTCTCTGGGTTTCTCTTCATTTCACACTCAGCCAAAGTCCTTTCTCTTTCTGCTGACTTAGCCCCTGAACCTGAGCAGAGGATCCTGTTGCGACACTTCCCTGGTTTAATCAGTGACTTCAAAGGAATTGGCTCAGCACTGCAGCCGCCAGGCTTTGCAGATCAGTGTGTGGTCTCCCTGCCAGGGCTCTGATCACCTCTCCCCACTGCCTTCCCTCCTACTGCAGATATGGAGCCCAGGATGTTGCAGCTCCTTCTCGTCCTCCATGTCTTGGCCCTCCCAGTCCAGCTCTGTGGTGAGTACAGAAGCTTTCTACACACATTCTTCCTGTACCATGAGAGACTTTTAAAGGCAACTCGCTGCTTCTCCCCACTTCCGCTCCATGCATGCATCGATTAACACATGCAGACCCCGACCAGGGTAGATGGAAGCACCTCTCTTCTTCCCATTAAAAATAAACCACAGCTCAGTATTGGTGCTGCAGTAGGGGGTGCTCTTCCCTGTAAGTCAGTACTGAAGCAATGCTAGGAAGTCCTTGTGCTGCTGAACATATGTCACAAGACATAACAGAGCTCCTGACTGTTCTTGAGCATTAAAGAGTCCAGGCAGTTTTGTTGAGATCAAGGGTGTGAGCCCTGATATCCTCCTGACCAAATCCCCTTGTGGTTTTATGCCAGGATTCATCACTCCCTGCTTTAAACTGTTGTGTAGCTTTGCTGTATGCTAGGAAACAGATGCTGTCTTCCTCTCCAGAGGTGGCTGTTTTTCACTAGTGGGTGGCATGATTTGCATCTTCTGGGATTCTTCATGATGGAAAGCATTGTATAAATGCTAGGCATTTTTCTCTTGGCTAAGAACGAGCTTGAACTCCCTGACAGAGCCCAGATCTGCCCGTGAGCAGCCCTAGATTCCCGCATGTCTGCAGTCACTGGGGGAGTAATGCATACACTTGATTCAGCTTCTCTTCCAAGTAGTTTCTCTTTGGTGCTTGTGTCTGGCTCACTTGGTTTTTATTTCCTCTCCATTTCCTGGAGTGATGACGGTTTTCCTCTGAGCTGTAGGAGGTGAAAGGTCCTCAGATACCATGGCAATGGGCACTGTGTACGGCCCTGGATAAAAAAAAGTGCAGACGATAAGCTCAGGGCATGGCTACACTTGCAGATGTAGAGCGCTTTGAGTTAAACCAGCCTTCATGGAGCGCAGTAGGGAAAGCGCTGCAATCTGTCCACACTGACACCTTCAAGCATACTGGCGTGGCCACATTTGCAACACTTGCGGCGGCATTGGGAGTGGTGCATTATGGGCAACTATCCCAGCATGCAAGTGGCTGCAAAGTGCTTTTCAAATGGGGGGGAGGGATGGAGTGTGACAGGGAGTGTGTTGTGTATATGTGGGGGGAGAGAGAGTGGGTTTTTGGGGGGCTGAGAGCATGTCAGCATGCTGTCTTGTAAATTCAGACAGCAGCAGACCTCCCCCTCCCCCTGCCCCTCTCTCTCACACACAGCATTCCACAGTAATGGCTTGCATGTCGGCTGTCAGAAATGGAGCTTTGAAAGGGCATTTCCGCATTCCTACAGAGTTCAGAACAATGACAAGAGTGGCCACTTGATTTAAGGGGATTATGGGACATTTCCAGAGGCCGATCAGAGCGCAGTAATGCAACACCTCGTTCACACTGATGCCTGGGCGTTGTAGCTAAGGCGCAGCAAACGTTATTCCTCTCGCTGAGGTGGAGTACCAGCAGCGCTGTAGCCACGGAGTCAGAGCGCTCTATGTGCCTTGCCAGTGTGGATAGGTAGTGAGCTAGTGCGCCCGGGGCTCCTTTATTGCGCTGTAACTCGCAAGTGTAGCCAAGCCCTTAGTGTTGCATTCCTTTTTTCACTGGAGTGCAGGGCATTTTATTGCTAACGTTAGGCCACATGTGGGAGCGAGCTCTGCCCTTGGTGTGAGCAAAGAGCTTCTGTTGAATTGGGAGAGACCAGTGCACTGCTTTATGTCCCTCTCCTCCTTCCCCACACCCTATGTTTTTTAAAGTTAATTTAATGCTCTGAGGTCCCTGGAGCCTATCTGTGCCCAGAGCAGACGCAGCATGGGCAGCGGCAATGGATGTCTCCCCCTTCCCAGTGCATCAATCCTGACCTGGAGGGACCTCCTTCCTCTAGTGGAATGTAGGGTGAAAGCCTGGCCCCACTGAAGTCATTGTGGGTTTTATTACTGAACAGGGGCCAGGGTTTCACCTTTGGTCTCCATGTCCATAGGCGCCGACTCCGTGGGTGCTCCGGGGCTGAAGCACCCACGGAAAAAAATTGGTGGGTGCTCTGCACCCACCGGCAGCTCCCCGTGGCCCCGCCCCGCCCCCCTGCTCCAGCTCGCCTCCTCCTCAACGAGCCTGCCGCCACTTCCTGCTTCTCCTCCCATCCAGCGCTTGCACCGCAACACAGCTGATTCGTGGGGCAGGGAGGGAGGGGGAGAAGGGGGAATGCGGCACGCTGGGGGAAGAGCAGGGCGGGGATTTGGGGAAGGGATCCAATAGGGGCAAGGAGGGGGCGGAGTTAGGGCAGGGACTTTGGGGATGGGGTTGGAATGGAGTTGGAATGGGGGCAGGGCCAGGGGCGGGAATGGGGTGGAGTCGGGGAGAAAGTTGGCACCTATGTCCATGTCTTCTTGATCCTTGGCCCCTCAGCTGAGAGTGCCAGCCACGGTGCCTAGTAGTGCCAGTTATGATGCCCCCCTAGTGGTGAGGACACTTGTCCCCTACAGAGTTGTCCAAGACTCCCAATATATTTCACGCAGACCACCAGCCAGATGGAACCAACTTTGTCATTGCTCACTTGGGACCAGATTCCAACGGGTGGCTTAGAGTCAAAAGACTCCATATCTCCTTCCCGGTCCCCTCAGTCATACAGTCCTCTAGATTAGTATCATGCTAGTTTCATACCCGTGAGGTCACGTAGCAGGCACATTCCTTGGGTGCATTCAGCTCTTCAGTTATTCTTTTAATTGTACATGGGCCATGACTGACGGTTTCTCTCCCTGCTGCCCCAAGGTCAGAGTCTCTCTGGGAGGAACCCTGCTTCCCGCTTTCCAAGGCTCAAATCAGGCTGTCTAAAATAAGACTCCAGCTACTGGAGAGAGGCACTAGAGAAATAAGGCTCCCCTAGATGGATATTGCAGGAATCTGTGTCAAGCAGGCCCAAAGCTTTAGTTCCAAGACTTTGCTGGAGACCCCTGAAGAATGTGAAATAGCACAGAAAGCGTTTATCAGATTCAGCCACCACAAAGTTGTCCATCTCAGCTGTGTCTCCCAGGAAAGCCCCGTGTGCAGCCAGAGCTGGTGCCGCCGCCTTCCTTTATTAGGGATCATATCTTCTTGTTCTCCCCCCAAAGCACCTTCCAGCCCTGCTGAAACCAAAGCAACTGACCTTCCCAACCCAGACCACAGGGGGCAACCAATTTGGATCCAGTTGCCCTGTCGGTAAGCCATTGTTTCCTTCCCTCTCATGTTAGCCTCCAGCACCTGCAGGAGGTGTTAGTGAGGCTGTTAGTGAGGCTGGCTTACTAAATAAGATTTAACATAGACTGTATAAAGCATCAGGCATCTGTGCTCCGTCCGTTCCAGGCCATCCATGAGTTTGGACTCAAATTTAAGGTAAGGGCACAATTCTGAATCTGAAAAGTTTGAACCCAGAATGTTGGATTCCAGCCTAAGGACTATGCTCTTAATATTTTTATGTAAAAAACCCAACCCTTAGTGACAGGGACTGAACCAGCACCCTCTAGAGCTAGAGGCATAACTGCCTCTTGCCTGAGCTAAATCCAGATTTCTGAGTATGAATGCTGTCGCAGACTCTTAAATCTCTCTGTGGTTCAGCCACTACAGAGCGCCCCATTGTTTGAGCCTGGGTTACATTTACGTGAAAGCTTAGCCCTGGTCTATGCTGCAAACGAGTGTTGGTATAACTGAAAATCCACACCCTGAGCAACACAGGTGCACCAACCTAACTCCTGGTGTAGGCAGCGCTATGCTGACAGGAGGGTTTCTCCTGCTGACACAGCTACCACCCAGGGCCATCCTTAAGCATATGCAGGCTGCATAGGGCACCCAAAAATTTGGGGCACCACTGGGTCTTAGCGTCCACCCTTCCACCTCTTCCTATCCCTGTTCTGACCCTTCCTGCAGGATCCCACAGGCAGGCTCCCACAGCTAGCTGCTGCAGCCTGGTGAGTCTTCCTCCGGAGGGGATCTAGTAACTTAAAAGTGAAAGGTTTCAGAGTAGCAGCCGTGTTAGTCTGTATCCGCAAAAAGAGCAGGAGTACTTGTGGCACCTTCGAGACTAACACATTTATTTGAGCATAAGCTTTCGTGGGCCACAGCCCACTTCAAAAAGTGAATGGAACATATAGTAAGAAATTATACACCTCTACCCTGATATAACGCAACCCGATATAACACGAATTCGGATATAACGCGGTAAAGCAGTGCTCCGGGGGGGGCTGCGCACTCCTGTGGATCAAAGCAAGTTCGATATAACGCGGTTTCATCTATAATGTGGTAAGATTTTTTGGCTCCCAAGGACAGTGTTATATCGAGGTAGAGGTGTATATAGATACAGAGAACATGAAAAGGTGGAAGTTGCCATACCAACTCTAAGAGGCTAATTAATTAAATGAGCTATTATCAGCAGGAGAAAAAAATGTTTTGTAGTGATAATCAAAATAGCCCATTTCAGACAGTTGACAAGAAGGTGTGAGGATACTTAACATGGGGAAATAGATTCAATTTGTGTAATGACCCAGCCACTCCCAGTCTCTATTCAAGCCCAAGTTAATGGTATCTAGTTTGCAAATTAATTCCAGTTCAGCAGTTTCTCGTTGGAGTCTGTTTTTGAAGCTTTTCTGTTGCAAAATTGCCACCTTTAAGTCTATTACTGAGTGACCAGAGAGGTTGAAGTGTTTTCCTACTGGTTTTTGAATGTTATGATTCCTGATATCAGATTTGTGTCCATTTATTCTTTTGCATAGAGACTGTCCGGTTTTGCCTATGTACATGGCAGAGGGGCATTGCTGGCACATGATGGCATATATCACACTGGTAGATGTGCAGGTGAATGAGCCCCTGATGGCGTGGCTGATGTGATTAGGTCCTATGATGGTGTCACATCATATCAATCACATCAGCCACGCCATCAGGGGTGAAATTTCATAAACACGTCTATTGTTATGGAGATCACACAAAGTAAATTAGTGTTCCCTTTTTCTAAAAGCAATGAACATTGTTATGAACACACTAAACCT